GTGTGTGTGTGTGTGTGGGGGGGCGGCGGGTGCATAGTGAATGTGGGGAGAACCATTTGGAGGCTATTATGTGGCTAATCTAGGAGGAGATGATGTAACTTGGAGTAGAGGGTGGCTGACTGTGGATTGAGGGAAGTAGGGAAAGACTCCATCTCCTGATGGCAGGGTCTGTAAAAACTCCATGGCCATATTTAATCTACCATAGATGAGACGACTGAGGCCCAGAAAAGGGATACGACTGATCCATGACCACACGTCATATAAGGGACAAGATGCGGGTCAGAGCCCAGGTCTTCNAATCTCTCGCTCCTGTTAATTTCATGTCCTAGCCACTTACATTCCAATTGCCTTTCTTATCTGTCATCATTGGCCCAATTCCATTCAAAACAACACCCACCCCCCTTTCCCTTCTTTTACAGCACTTTTTCCTACTGACATACATCATGCCCATGTCAACTCCATAAAAGCAGGGACTTGTTCATGCCTATCTCAGGACCCTCAACAATGCCTGGAACAAAAAAAGCACCTACTAAGCATCTGTTAATAACTTAAGTAATCTTCATCTCTGCACAGGCTCAGTCTCTAACTCCGGTAGGTTTTTCCTTCATGTGTTACGTTCACCTTTCATTCCCACTGCCACATCAACATCGCACTTGGATTACTGCAAGACATTCCTAATTCAACTCCCAGCTTTACGACATCGTAGTCTCCACACCAGTTTTTCTATACCACAGTTTTCATCCTGTTTACTCCTCTGAACGCTGAGCACAGGAGTGGAATTTCACATATATGCTCCCTCTTCCCGTTATGCTTGAAAACGCATTGGGGTGTAGCTGAATCTGTGGAGTTATCAAAAAGTCTTTTGGGGGGATTTCCGACTCCAACCAACAACCTGCCCCCTTCCAGCACGGGAGGTCCGGGCCCTGACTTCCCATGATACAGGACAAACGAAAGAAACTCTAAGTTTTCTTTTCCCTAGTGTTTTGGCTCTGTAGCCCCTGGTTATAATCATTTTTCAAATGAGTTTCTTAATCATAAATAATAGATTGTTTTTAACCTGAAACATGGAAATCTCCTACCCCCTGCTTTAAATAATGACCCTAAAGCTTGTG